AGCATGACACAAAAGCAAACATGGCACAAACATTCATGTTTCATTTAAAAACTGGCAGGTTTGGGTCTGAGTGATAGCACAGTGGGAAAGGTGCTTGCCTCGCACGCAGCCAACCCAGGTTTGATCCCTGGCATCCCACAGGGGCCACCGGAGAGCAGCCAGGAGTGATTCCTGAGTGCAGAGCCAGGAGGAAGCCCGGAGTATCGCCAGGTGTGGCCCCCAAAAAAAGTAAAAAGAAAACCAGAAAAAAAGACTGATTCTTTTTCTCCCTCAGGGCAAGTTCTGACGACGAGTCTCTGAGAGGGCCCAGGCCCTCCCACACTGGAGCCAAGAAACGATTCCCACTTCCCTCCGAGACACGGTCCTGTTGGGAGCTACCGTTCAGGAAGAGGAAAAGGCCAGAGCAGGGATTCAAATCTAGAGGGGAAAGCCAGACACGCTTACACGTGGACACACCCGGACACACACACAGACATGCTCCCCAGTGCTCGCGTGAGCACACACACATGTTCACACATGCACACACACTCACAAGTGAGGAAGACAACAAAGCATTTGCTGATTTGGAGGAAAGTGTTGGCGGCAGCAGGAGGCACAAGCGGAAGCGGAGGCAAAGGAGAGAGAAAACAAGGCCAGAGGGAGCTTAAAGGAGAGAGAAAACTAGGCTCGCTGGGATCCTCATGCCCAGGACAGTGAGACACCCCGGGAAGCTCCGGGCTCGCCGCCCCCACTGGGCAGAGCTAAGTCCCAGGAGCCACTGGGTGTCTGGGACAGAAGCTGAGATGGCCCCTCCATTCAGCACAGGAGAAATGAAGTCAAGTAGCCAAATATAAAGGAAATTTCAGGTGTAGCAATTCTGTTTCTAGGGGTTTATCCTAGATTAATTTCAAATTTGATGAAATTACAGCAATCCACAGAATAGAATAGTAAGCAGCTATTAAGAGAGCTAAGCTCAGACCATTTCATGTAAAATGAAAATATTTAAGTAAAAAAGAAAACATTTAGGCTTGGCTTACATATGCTTATAAACATATACATCTACTTTTATGGAAAAATAAAAAATGATGAAATAACTGTTTACTTGTCTGGGGGGTACTGGAGGAGGACAGTTCAGAGTGAGATTATATAATATACATAGACTTAACACACTGGCTAATGGTTTATTTTTTTTGAGCAGAAATAATTTTATTGGGAATGTCCAAATAGCTTTTCTTCTGAAACTGTGAAACCAAAAATCTTCCCTCCAGAAATACACAGATGCATGGAATGTGCACGAAATGCCCAAGGTTTCAGAAGTAGATGCTGGAAGGACACACCTCATCCTTAAGTCCAGTATCCCAGACCAAAAGGGCGAGGATTCAAGAATGAAGTGAATCGGGTGTTTGGAGGATCCACTTGGGTTGTGAGATGCATACTGAAAGTAGACTATAGACCGAACACGGTGGTGAACTCAATTCCTCTTTTGAAAACCACAACATCCAAAAGGAGAGAGAGAACAAAAGGGAATGTCCTACCACAGAGATGGGATGGGGGGAGGAGGTGAGGGGGGTTGGGGGCTGGGAGGGTTACTGGGATCATTAGTGACGGAGAATGGGCACTGGTGGAGGGATGGGTACTTGATCATTGTATAACTGAAATCCAAGCACAAAAACTTGTAAGTCCACAATCGTACCTCATGGTGTTTCACTAATAAAACTTCAAAAAGAAAAAGAATGAGGTGAATCTATTTAATACCCATTGCAACGAAAACTCCTATGAGCAAACAAACAAAAAAAAGCCCCCATTTTATTCCTAAATGCATAAACTTAAACATAAATGCATTTTATTTATTTATTTATTTATTTATTGCTTTTTGGGTCAGACCTGGCGATGCACAGGGATTACTCCTGGCTCTGCACTCAGGAATTACTCCTGGTGGTGCTCAGGGAACCATATGGGATGCTGGGAATTGAACTCGGGTCGGCTGTGTGCAAGGCAAAAGCCCTACCCGTTGTGCTATCACTCCAGCCCCCATAAATGCATTTTAAAGAGGAAAAGAAGATGCTGAGATACTGGTCAATATTTAATGTTCAAATAAAAAAACAATCTGTCTGATTTGCGTTTTATTTTGCGAGGGATTGGGGGGTGGCCGTGCTTAGAGGCCCGGGGACCAAGTCTGGAGAGTCTCTGTCAAGACCAGGCCCGATGTCTCGATGCCACCCAGCCAACCTGCCAAACGGGCTCTTCCATCAACCCTTTACACCCGCTCTAACGGTGAGAAAGGACAGGCCTGAAATCAGCAACCTCTGACCCAAAACTGGATCCTCAGACACTCGGACACACTGCCTTCGCCTTCATGCTGACGTTGACTGGCTCTGACCCTCGTCTTCACTCTGTTCTGAGACTTTCACACACCTCAGGAGAGTTCAGAAGTGGCAAAGTGTGGGTTGGTGATGGAGCCCAACATATCAGGTGCCTCCGTGTGTATGCGTGTTGTGGGGGGGGCGCTGGGTTCCATCCCGACCCTACACCCCAGAGACATCAAAAGATGGTGAAGTTCGTACCAATAACCGTGCCGAGAAACAGAACTCAAGCCCTTTAGTATAAAACAGACTCAGGAACACAAAGTCATTCTTCCGGTCAAAATTCTTACTTTGGGTGGTGAGGGCAAAGTAGATTCACAATTCAACTCTTTTAACTATGAAAAGCAAAAGTGCAGTCGAGAGATGGGCTCAAGTGGTAGACTCATGTGGGGAACGGCTCCAGTGGCCCCAGAACCCCAAAGAGTAAACTTGAACCCCATGTCGGTGGAACAGTTTCCTTCTTTCCTCTTTTTTTTTTTCTGGGCCTCACCAGGCGGTGCTCAGAACTTGGTCCTGACTGCACTCAGGGGTCACTCCTGGAGGCCCTCAGGACCCTATGCCAGGCCAGGGATGAAAGCCCCATCAGCCTCAGGCAAGGCGAGTGCCCTACCAGCTGCTCTCCTAGCTCTCGGGCCCCCATGTTTGCATTGTCATCCACAGACAAACGCTTCGCGCGGGCAGGATGAACCTCTGGACCTCCGAGTCCAAGCTGCACCTGGGAGCACGCAATCAGGCAGTTACGTGTTCTGGCTGCGAGGCTGATGCTGGTGGTGCCAGCTGGACTCACACGGAGACACGGTGGGAGGCGACGGGGAGGGGAGGAGTTACACCATCACAAAGCAGTAACAGGACACACTGGAAAAGGTCCCTTTTCCCTCCGAAACCACTCAGGAGACAGAGAACCGCAAAGCACACGCTGACTCCGGCATGGGCCTTCGCTCACACCCAGAAGTGTCACACTGCTGAAACGAGGCCTCTGGCAGAGCTCACCACGGGCACCGCGGCTGGCCTGGGACGCGACTCCGGTTCCAGGCACAAGATGTTCTCAGACACAGCAAACACACAAGCCCACGGAATCCGGGCCTCAGGCAGCTGATTTTTCTCCTGGTGCCACGCCAGCGGCAGCGGGGACACAGACAGGAGACTTATTACCAAGAGTGATGACATTTTTGCCAAATCAGAGCCTAAACCGAGGACATGGAAAAACAGGATAAAATATCAGAGGGACTGCATTAGTTCATACTTCACCCTGAACAGAGACAAAGCTTGTTCGCTATAAAAGCCACAACTTCAGAAATACTCGTGTAGGTCATTAAGAGAAAAGAAATGAGGGCTGAGAAGTGCCTGCCCAAACAGCCCCCCACAGCCACGCGCTCCCACAGTCCGAAATTGCTGCCACGGCCCCCATGGGCAAGACTCCATCTTCTCGGGATGGACCCCGTGGAGAAATTAAATGGATGCAAACTCAGGTATACAGGATTCGTGACTGAAATCTCCAGGCTTTTTCAGAGTTGGGATGGGCTACCTCCCCCCTCCCCCATGTCCTTGTACTTCCAGAAGCCCCAGCAGCTTTTGGACATCCACACTCCAAAGCTGCCACCCAGACAAAACATCAACTCCAGTAGTACCTTCCCGACAAAAAGACTTAACTTTCTGACATCTCAAACTCTAAAACACTGATAAACCAGTAGTAGCACACCAGATTGGAGAAGGAACCAATCTCGGTTAACAAAACAAACACAGGAGGCTGAACCTATCACAACATCTTACAAGGACTCAATGTCTCCATAAGAAACAACAATTTATTGGTTGGTCCGTGGTTGGAGGCCTGCCCCAAGCGCTGGGGAGAAGGCAGTTGGGAGAGAGAAGGGATCATAAGGACAGTGACAGGAAGAAACGATCACTGGGTAAGATCTGAGTGCTGAAAGTCCCGTAAGGAACAGAACACGATGACCTCTCTGTGCCCGAATTGCAAACCATCACGCCCCAAAGGAGAGAGAAAGAAGAAAGGTGCCTGCCTCTAAGGCAGGGTGGAGGGGTGGCGGGAGGGAACTGGGTGGGAAACATACGCTGGTGGAGGGATAGGGGCGGGAACATGGCGTGACTGAAACCGGATCTTGAACAGCTTTGCAATGGTGCATCTCATGGTGATCCAATGAAAGGAACTTCAAGGAAATAAGTGAGGGCTGGGAGGGTCGGCCCCCTGGGGTTTGCATGGGGCGGGGGGGAGGCAGGTTCCACCCCGGCACCGCAGTAGTTCCCCCCATCACCGCCAGGGGTCCGTAGTGAGCGGAGCCAGGAGCAGTACCTGCGCTCCAGGTGTGCCCCCGTCCGCAATACAAAGAGAGAGAGATGAGAAGAGTGGGGTGGGCAGGGGAAGAAAAACAAAACAACAAAACAAAACAACAAAAAAACACCAAACTTTGGGAGAAAGGAAAACAGTCTGAAAGAGCCCGAGAGAGGGGGGTGCACCCTCTGCGCCCTCGGAGCCCCGGGGCAGGGCTCTGCACAGAGGCGCGCCTGCACACACGCGGGATGGCCAAAGGGAAACAAAGTTTTAGCGGGCAGGGCACTAGTCGGCGCTCGCTACTCTCAGCACGCGGCCCGCCGAGCTCCCGGGCTCCCTCCGGGCTGAGCTCTGTCCCCCCGCAGCACAGGTCAGCCCTGTGCGTCCTCGCGCTGCCCCGCCTGCACCTGCACAAAGGGCCAAGCTGAGCCCCCGCGATGCCCCGCGATGCCCCGCGAGCGGGCACCAAAGGGACCGCGTGGTTTCCCGACAAGACCCCAGAAAAATCCTTTCTGGTCTTCCCGGAGCAGGGACTGCGGGTGGGGAGCGAAGGGGGTGGGGGGGTGGGGAGGGCGGTGTTGGGGGGGATCTGGGCTTTCTGCAATTTCTCCAGGAGGGTCCAAAGCCCCCACTCCCCACCCCGGCAGCCACTGGGTCAAAGTTCCCTCCCGCAGAGCAGTGGGGGCGGCTCCCTCCCGGTGCGCCAAGTTTTGGAACGCGAAGCTCCACCTGGGAGCTGGAGGGCGAGGGCGAAGTGTCCTGAAATCAGGAAAAGTCGGGGCGGGGGCAAGCAGCCTCCGGGGCCCTCCTGTGCCCCTGCCCGGCCCGGAGAAGTCCCCGAACACCCTCCACCTCGGCATGAGGCGTGACTCACGGGTGCCACCAGCCACCCCCCACCCCTCCTCGGGGCTGAAGCTGGGGGGCTCGCCCGCCCACGCCCGCTCGCCCCAGGCACGCGGGAGTCACTCGCCGGCCTGGGAGGGCGCATGGGAATGAGCAGATAGAGCGGGAGCCCCTGCCTCCCCCCCCCCCCGCCCCGAGGCGCGGGGAGGGGGTCTGGGCCCGGCCCTTAACGCAAAGCAATTATATGAATGTCTTGCAGAGCGGCTTTATGCTGGGAGTATCCATTGGTTCTCACTCATTTCAGCAACTTTCAGCAAGTTTGGAGAATGTGTTTTTGAAACCTTTCTGAGCCAGAACGGGGCAAAGATTGTTACGACTAACGCAACAGAGAAAGATTTTCATCCTGACTCTGGAGAGGACCAAAGTGAGTTGCTCTTAAACAAAAAGGCAATTCGCAAAAGGCCAGAACAGAACGGTGAACATGGGTTTCCGGTAGAGGATGAGAGCTCGGGGCACATGGAGCATGTGGCCTCACACCCTCGGCCAGATTCTCCTCCGGGCTGGCTGGCAGAGGAGATGGAGGACCTGGCCTGGGGAGAGAGGGCGGCAAGACAGGGAAGGAGCGAAGACACAACAGATACAACCCAACGGGTGCGTGTGTGGCTGTGTGTGTGTGTGTGAGCATTTACACCACAAAAGGACGTGTGTGGGGGAGCACAGGGCGGGGACGGACAGCCAGTCAAGACTGGGCAATGCCACAGTCTGGAAAGGACATGAGAGGGGACAGAAGTGTGGCTCCTGGGACGCATATTTGGAGAGAGACAGAGGTGCGTGTGAAGTGGGGGATCTCATTAATGTCTGGGGTCCAGGACAGCTGTGGATGTTCTTGTCAGACTCGCTGGTTCAAATCAGTTCAATATTTGTTTTAAAATTTTTTAATAGTTTTAAAATTTTTTACTCACACAAAAAAAATAAAGTCATCATTTGTTCCTTTGATTCACTGAACTTTTTTTTCTTTGGGATGGATGTGTGTACACCTGGCCATGTTCAGGGTTTACCCTGGCTCTGGGCTCAGGGTACCACATGGGGTGCCAGGGATTGAACCCAGCTCAGCTGTGTACAAGACAAGATAGTACCAGTTCTACGACTTCCGCGGCCCCTGAAGGAGTGACTTTCCATGGATGGCTGCATAAACATTCCTGGGACATATGGGGGCAAGGGGAACAGAGGTGATGAGACAGCAGAGGGAAATGGACAAGTGGTTAAATTGGTCATTTATTTTTTAAAATTTATTTATGTATTTATTTTAACCGGGGGTCACGCCCAGCGATGCACAGGGGTTACTCCTGGCTCTGCACTCAGGAATTACTCCTGGTGTTGCTCAGGAGACCATATGGGATGCTGGGAATCAAACCCGGGTCGGCCGCGTGCAAGTCAAACACCCTACCCCACTGTGCTACCGCTCCAGCACTAAGTTGCATGCCAAGACGAGTGTCTTAAAAAACAAAACCTAAATGGAACAAAAAAATGCTTCACCTTCTGACGGACGGTTGCCTCCTCAAGCCAGGGCACCAGTCATGATTCTGGGGGGATGTGCGCTGTGGGGAGCGCAGGGGAGGATGGGACTCTGGTGTCTGTGTGCCCCCAACTTGGGAGCTGTCTCCTGCAAATAGCACCAGGGATGAACCGACCATTTGGGACCAGCTCTGGGGGCTGGGAGGATGAGCAGATGGAAGGAGCTGAGATGGGCGGCAACCATGGACGTGCAACAGATCCCGACAACCGCCACTCAAGAGTACAGAGGAGGGGGTCTCCCCGCAACCAGAACTGACGGTTGGGGCGGGGTGGCGGGTGCGCTGTGTCACAGGGAATTACAGCACAGTAGGTTTCATGGGAAACGCATTTCCCTTCCTTGTGTCCTCCATCTTCTGCAGCCTGGCAGTGGGCTGGCCTTGGGGATGTTCCTGGCTCCTTGCTGGGGGCTGCGTGGAGGGAGGGAACTCTGCCTCCTGCAAAGCCTGTGCTCCCTGCGGCCCCAGACTTCAGAGCAAAGCTCAGATATGCTTATGCCCATCTGCCTCTTTCTTTTCTTTTGTTTTGGGGCCACACCTGGTGATGTGAGGGGCTTACTCCTGGTGTTGTGCTCAAGGATCACTCCTGGCTGGGGGAGGATCCACCTGGGATGCCGGGGATGGACCCTGGGTTGGCCTCAAACAAGGCAAGTTCCCTGCCCGCTGTGCTATCCTGCAGCTCCCCTATTTGTCCTTTTCATTCTGACTTTCGTTTGCATTTCTGCAGCAAGTTCAAATTCTGGGCTTCTCTGCTCCACCTCAGTTCAAGATGTTTTCCATCCTGTGGAACTATGTCTTTTTCTCCTGGTACTCTGGTTGAAGTTTTTGTCCTCCTGAGTCATAACAGTAAATGCAGAAAACGAATCTGTAACAAGATAGTTCTTTTTGTTTGGTGGCACATTTGGCGGTGTTCGGGGCTTACTCCTGGCTCTGTGCTCAGAGAGCACTCCTGGCGGTGCTCGGGGGACCATACGGAGTGCGGGAATCACACCTGAGTCAGACAAAAAGCAAGGCAAGAGCCTTCCCGCTGTGATATCACTCCAGCCCCATAGAGTGATGAAAGTGAAAAACAACAACAACAACGTTTTTCCATGCAAGGGAATATGTAGTTTTTAATTAAAATAACACTAGCACGTTACTCATTATTTTATTTTATTTTTGGCTTTTTGGCTCATACCCGGTGAAGCTCAGGGGTTACGCCTGGCTCTGCACTTAGGAACTACTCCTGGTGGTGCATGGGGGACCATATGGGATGCTGGGGATTGAATATGCAAACGCCCTAGCCGTTGTACGTTGTAGTATCATTCCAGCCCCTAGCATGTCATTAAAAAAAAAAAGAAAGAAAAATTTGTGTACAGAAAAGTGGTTATTTTCTTCTCCTTCCAGATCTGGTCACTGCAGAATTTTTGGTCGTCGCTTTTAGTAGGTCGTACGGTCTTCTACCTGAAGTAATAAAACTGCAGATTCTACTGCTGCCTCTGGGCTCAAAAGTCTGTATTGCTAAATAATGTTTGACTTATAAAATTTTTTTTTGCTTCTGTTTATGGGTCCTACCTAGTTGTGCTCAGGGCTTACTCCTGCCAGTGCTTAGGGACCACATGGGACGCCGGGGATTGAGCCCAGGTCAGCCTCAGGCAAGGCCAGGCCCTCCCCGCAGTGCCATGGGTTCTGCCCCACGTTTAGACTTTTATTCCCGTCCTAGGCATCCGTTGTGCTGACTCTCCTCTCCTCTGCTCTTCCAGCACAATTGTCCAAAGGCTTTGCTTGGCAGTGTTTTAGCGCAGGGGCTGTTTCAAGAGCAGATGAATTTGTAGATTGCAATGCCAGACATCAAACCACGTGGGGCGGGGGGCGGGGTTATCGGTACTCACACCCCCACGGTCCATGTTCCCTGACCCCAAGGTGCCGGGAACAAACTCAGGAATGTCTCGCACTTCCCCCATTGCTGCATACAAGAGGCTCTTTTCCAATAAATTAAGCCCATTTGTGTCAAACACATGTCCTGGGGCCCCACGGCAAAGCCAATGGGGTGAAGGGGTGAAGGTTGTTTCTTCAGCTCAGGGTTCTGGGGAGGGGGAGGGTCACTTTAAAGAGGAGTGAATCTGAGGGTTAGTTTGTTCTTTTTCTTGAGGGCCACTCCAGGTGATGCACCAGGCTTCCTCCTCCTGGCTCTGCACTCAGGGGTCACTCGCCGTGATGCTTGGGGGACCATGTGGGGTGCAAGGATGGAACCCGGGTTGGCCGCATGCATGGCACACACTTTCCCCTGTACTGTACTATCGCTCCAGCCCCAAATTTGAGTATTTCTTAACTTAAAAAGAAGAAGGGAGACGGTAGCCCTGGCCTCCTAGCTTTGTGGCCTAGGTAAAACAATCCTTAAGCAACCGAGTAGATTTCTCTGCAAGGACAGCGCAGCCAGCGTTACCATGGAAATAGGCAGCCCAGCCAGCAGAAACCGATGCGGTCACATGCCTGATGGCATCCATCATATCAGCAGGCGGGGTTGGGCCGCTGAGTCCCACATGGCCCACAGCGTGACGCCTTTTTAACCGAGTGACACCCTTCACTCGTGCACCCCGCCTGGAGAGCATTCCTACTGCTCGAGAGGGGCCGTGGCGGGGGCTGGCGCTGGGCCTGTCTGGGTCTGTGGAGCTCAGGAACGCTCCATGCTGAAAATGGGGATATTCTGCACGCCAGGAGAATTTTTTTTCTTTCGGCAAAAATAAACTGTCCTATTTGCCACTGTCTGTCCACTGGCCAGACTGCACCTGACTCAGGTGAAACGCCTGAAGGAAAGGCGGTCAGCTCACTCCCCAGCAGGTGGGTGCCAGGGTGGAGTCGGGAAAAGTACCTCCAGGAGCCTGGGCCAGAGCACAGCGGGGAGGGTGTTGGCCTTGCACACAGCAGACCTGGGTTCCATCCCCGGCACCAGAGAGGACCCCCCCTCAACCCCACCAGGAGTGAAACCTGAGCGCAGAGCCAGGAGTAAGCCCTGAGCACAGCCAAGTGTAGCCCCCCCCAAAAAAAGTAAAATAAAACGATGATTTAAAAAGAGAGACCGTGCAAGGCCAATGCACGCAGATCCAATGTGAACAGTGTAAATAAATTCAACCAGCCTCCCATTATTGGTTATTTCAAAATACACATCCCAAACAATTGGGGGTGGGAGTGGCATACACACAGCTGTGCTAGGGGTCAGGCCCAGGGTGGCCGCACGCAAGGCAAGTGCCTTACTCACTGTAGTGTGTCTTGGCCCCACTCCTCCCAAACTACTGTTCTTACAAGGATGTTACAAATACTTCATCTGAGGGTTGCATTTCTGGTTTATGCCATAAAAGGTTGCGGTGACGGTGAGACTGTCTGTGTTGGCTGAACCCCATGCGAGCTGTCACGCTGACTGTGTGCCGATCCAGTCACCGAGGGCTGGATCCATCTGTCATGCCTGAACACAACTATTTTTAACCTGCAGAGTCTAATGGGTGGTGGTGTTCGTTCGGCCCCTTTCAGTTCTCTTGATTTGTTAATTCCCATCCCCCATACTTTGCACACTAGGGTGACCCCATGAAGATTTAGGGGGTCAAATCCACATCAAAATGCTCTCAATGATTAAATGAGGCATGTTTCAGAGCTATTTATTTAGTGATGGGGGGGAGGTATTTCAGGCCTGAGCTAATTAGTCATTTAGGAGCTGGGAGATTTAATTTTAATTATGGATGAAAAATCTCCCTCCCTCCCTTTCTCTCTCCCTATCTCCATCTCCTGACAAATGAGCAGCTTTCACTTAGCAAATGGTCACCAGCAAACCTGGTTGCAGGCGGTGCCTGCATTGGGGAGACTGCTCAGTCTCCCGTGGGAGCCACACAGTGACTCCCGATCCACTTGCAGTTCCAGAAGGTCTTTGGGTCCCCAAGGCCACCAGTCATCCCCTCAGCCACATTCGTGTCTCTACTTCGCACGGAGCTCTGCTCCTGAACGCCCACGGGGAAGGCTGCCAGCGCCCCCACAGGTGTGGGGGGATGGGAACTGTCCATTCCACTTTACGAACCTCCCATATATATTTTTAAAAAGCAGCATTGGAGCTGGAGTGGCAGTAGGGCAGGCAGGGTGCTTGCCTTGCAGGCTGCAAACGCGCGTTGGACCCCTGGCACCCCCTATGGTCCCCGAGCCGGCCAGGAATGGTCCCTGAGCACTACTGGGTGTGTCCCCCCCAAAAAAAACAAACAAAAAAACCCAGCAATTGCTTTCACTTTTGCTGCCTAAAATAAAGTGTTTTTTTCTCTTTTTTGGGTCACACCCAGCGATGCTCAGGGGTTACTCCTGGCTCTGCAATCAGGAATCCATCCTGGGGGTGCTCGGGGGACCACATGAGATGCCAGGGATTGAATCTGGGTCAGCCACTTGCAAGGCAAACGCCCTACCGGCTGGACTATGGCTCCGGTCCAAACTGAAGTGATTTAATTAAGCAATTTCTCTCATAGGACATAAACTTACATTTCTTTCTTGAATTCTTCCATCTCTTGATTCTCTACAGTCAGACGCTCTTTCGATTTCTTCAGCTCTTCCACATTCTTCAAGTTGTTTTCTTTAAGGGATCCGACTTCGAGACCAAGAGAAAAGAAACCTGGTCAAATGCTTCTGTTTTCCAGTGGCATGGATGGGGACACAAATCAGACGTGAAGACGCAAGTTTGAATAGCAAAGGGCCGGAGACACGCGGCTCAGGGGCGTCCTGCAGCGCACCGGTGCAGGAAGCCCCGTCTGTAGGAAGCAGACCCTGAGCACTGTTGGTGGTGGCTTAAAAGACCGAAAAAGAACGGACACTAGAGGCTCCTGACAGAGACAAAGAGGACTCGGAATGAAGAATGCTCCTCCCAAGCCCTGAGTGTATTCGCTGAGTGACTAAGGATATGGTTTTTCTTTCTTTTCTTTTTGGGTCACACCCAGCAATGCACAGGGATGCCTCCTAGCTCTGCACTCAAGGAATTACTCCTGGCGGTGCTCAGGGGATCATATGGGATGCCGGGGATTGAACCTGGGTCTGCCGTGTGTGAGTCAAACGCCCTCCCTGCTGTGCTATCGCTCTGGCCCAGGATATGGTTTCTCTCAAGGCTGAGGCCGGGCCTACACAGCCCTGGTCACCACCATCAACCACCTCACTCTGCAACTTCGCATTGGTGTTCCTGGCGTCCTCCAGGGAGGCCAGGGTCTCTGTCTTCTCTTGGGTCATTTGCTCCATGAACTGCCTGGCATCTTCCGCTGTCTGCACAGCCTGGAGGGAGAAACCTCGTTGAGCCACCCCGGGGGGGGGGGGGGGGGCAGGGAGGGGTTGGCCTCAGTGGCAGAGCACAGCGCGAAACGCCACACAAACCTGCCACAGTGGTTCCGGGCCCCGCTGGGCGCCACTCACCCCGTGGGGACTCGCTGGGCGAGCCTGAGATCGGTCCACAAGCTGAAAAGACCCACTACTGCTGGGCGGGAGGACCCCAGAGCCCAGACCATGGCTTGTTGAGGAAGAAGGAAGTAAGCAAGGGAGGAGGGAGGCTAAGGATACGAAGGAGGGAGGGAGGAAACAGGGAAGAAAGGGAAAGGGGGGGAGGGAGGGAAGAAAAGGTTATCTTTTTTTTTTTTTGGCCCGCTCGAGCTAATCGATGAACAACGGGAGGACAGTGACAATGACAGTGACCCTATGGGATCCTGGAGATCGAACTCACGTAGGCCGTGTGCAAGGCAAATGCCCTTCCCACTGTACTATCACTCTGGCCCCCAAGATTTACTTTCTTGTAGTTTCTTGTCTGTGACTTTAAAAGTCTGAGGGGTTTCAATATGAAATTTAAATTGAAGAACCTCTAATCCACTAGACAGCAGTCACCAGAACTTGACGTTTGTTACATCTTGATGCGAACAAGTGGGTCAACTATCCCCTGCTGTGTCCTAGGAATTGATTCCGTTTGTTTCTGGAATGCCAGCTAAGGAGTCCTGAGTCCTGAGAGGAACTCCCGGGGGTCTCTGGGTCCTTCTGTTATGTCTGTCAGTCCTGTCTACAAATCCCACAGCCAATGGCTGTCCAATGGCTTCTGGAGGATGGCGGCCACCGAGCCACCAAGGGGGAGCAGGTGGAGGGACAGCACCCTTTCCTCCCTGGAATGGCCCAGCGACAGTAACCTACTGCAGGGTTCAGATGCATTTCTGCCAAAAGCCATTGGATTCCGAGATTTGTGTCTGAGTCTCTGGGATCATAGTCATTAAGCACCTTAATCAGGAGCCAGAGAGGCCGTTCATGGGCGGCGACTTGGGGTCACATTGAGACGGGGAGGAAAAGGCTGGCTCCACCCCCATCCCATGAGGCCCCACATGTCTCATCACTGTGGGCCCAAACCTGACTGTCCAATGACCTCTGGCGGATGGTGGCCACTGAGCCCCCAAGGGGGAGCAGGCGGAGGGACAGCACCCTTTCCCCCCTGGGGTGGCCCGGCAACAGTAACCTATTGTGCGAGCTGGATGCATTTCTGCCAAAAGTTGCTGAGTTTCGAGATTTGTTTCTGAGTCTCTGAGATCATGGCCGTTAAACAGCTCGATCAGGGACCAGAGAGGCCATGCCTCTAATTATATAGCTGAACTGGAGGTGGTGTGGGTGTATCTCCCACATACCTAACTTTTTCCTGTTTACTTTCTTGGTCAACTCTGCCCCAACCTTTTGGGGTCTGGCCAATCGCACGGCAGCAATTTGGGGGTACCTGGACGTCTGAAGGCGCCATCAGGCTGCTGATGCACTCGACTCACAGGTACAGACTGACCTGCTGGCGGCACCATACTCCCAACCCAGTGCTTCTTAGGGTTTACTCCTGCCTCTGCACTTAGAGATTGCTCCTGCCAGGGCACAGATGACTGGATGGGATTCCTGCGATTAAACCCAGATCGGCCACATGCAAGTACCCTACTCACTGCACTATCTCTTTAGCCCAAGATAAACACTTTTAAGAAAATGGTTTACAGGTCCAGAGCAATAGTGCAGCTGGTAGGGCATTTGCTTTGCAGGTGGCCAATCTGGCTTCAATCCCTGACATTCCATATAGTTTGCCCAAGCACTGCCAGGAATGATTCCTGAGTGCAGAGCCATAAATAAGCCCTAAGACATCACCAGGGGTGGCACAAACATAAAGAAACAAAAAGAAATTGGTGTATCAGAATTCCATTGTAGAAACTGTTTGACTCATTTGACTCTATAGTTCTTCATTGCTAGCCAAAAATCTTTTCTAAATAAACCTGAGAATAATCAGTTATCACTGGCAAAAAAGAAATAATTTTATTAAAGTAGATATAGGACACTTGTTCGCTCAAGTTTTAATACTGCTTTACATAGTTTGTGAAACAAATTCAATAATGGTTATTACTAAAAATTTCAATTGATACAGATCTTTCACTTGTCAGACAGTTGATAATCTCCAGAGGAAAATACATCAAAATCATACATATAATTATAGAAGTTCTTATTATACATGTAGCCTGGATGGTACATTATTTATCACTTTTGACAGAACTAGAAGACATTCAAGTGAACAAAAATAGATTCAAACTGGATGATAAACTTCTGATGGTTGAGGTCCTTCATTTAATTTTTTTGTGATAAGAAAATCCAAAAGTATTAATGCTGAATTTCTCCAGAACCAGCTTCTTGACATGCTCCTCCAGCTGGCCCCTCTCCTCCAGGCCCTTCTTACACTCGGCCACCAGGCCGCTCTTGCTCATCTGCAGCTCCTCCACCAGGCCCTGCAGCCCCACCGTGGCGACCTGCAGTGACCTGCAGTGCTTCGTTCTCTGTGCGCACCCTCTGGAGCTCCTCCTGCACCGCCCTGCCCAATTCCAGCACTTTCTCTTTCTCCGCCTCGAGGGCTTCTTGGCGGAGCCGCTCCTCCTGCCAGAGCTTCTCTGCGGCCCGCCTGGCCTCGATGACCTTCTCCTTTTCTAATTGAATCGCTTGGCTCAACAGCCAGAGCTTCCTCTGCTCTTCCCGCAGCGAAGAGTTTTTGGCCTCGGCTTCTGTTTGCTTCAGTAGCAGTGACCCTCTCTCTGACTTCAGAGAGCGCTTCTCCTTCGCCAGCAATTGATTCTCTGACCTCAGGGCCCTGCGATCCTTCGACATCAGCTCAATTGCCTCTGATGTTATTGGGTAAGTTAATGACTACAGAAACAAAAGCGGGGAAGAATGGAAACAAGAATGAGATCAAGCAGGCACAAGCAAGCCAAGCACTTAATGTGGCCTAAACACCAGAAATGAAAATGGCAGAGTAGTCTTACCTGCACACGCGTGTATACGCGCGCGCACACACTCACACACTCACACACGCACACACACGCAGGATGGAGAGGCTCTAACACAGTTAGCTTCTTAGGGTCAACATAACTACCTGCCTATTTTGTGGATGGGGGCCCCACACCTGGTGATGTTCGGGTCTCGCTCAGTGTTCTGTGCTCAGGGATCACTGCTGGCAGGGCCGGAGGACCATACGGGATGCTGGGGATCAACCCTGGGTTGGCCGAGTACAAGGCTGCACCCTACCCATTCTACTAGCAGCCAATTTTATTTTTGAAATGCCATCTGAAATTATTCCTGACAGCTCCCCGGAAGTTTGGACAGTTGGATCTTGACATTGGGGCATAAGATTTTTTTCCCCCCACTTCAATTCTTCTATTATAAAATCCATCACTCTGTCATAGAAGGGATGCATTAAAAAACTAGTTTTCAGTACAATTCAAAGAACTACAAAAAGTATTTTGTTTTTGAACTTTGTGCAGGAGGGGAAGGGAAAAGCAACCACTACTTGCCAAACGATTTTCACAGGGACAAACAGAGGCAGGAAATGGACTTAGTCCCAAAAGTTTTACACTTTATAGAAAATCCAGACTAATCCACCAGCTTTGGAGACTGAAGCCAACAGGTTTTGCTTGCCAAACACAGTAACAACAAGTCTCAAAATGGAGACATTAGTGGGCCCGCTCGAGCAAATCGATGAACAATGGGAGGCAGTGTTTGCAGTAATTTGGGAGGGGCCCAGGGGCTCCAGGAGGAGTGGCCGCACACGGGCCAGGGTCTCCCTCACCTGCTCTCCCTGCCCGTCAGCAACGGGTTGTGCGTCTTCGTTTCTGAGTCTCAATGCACACCATAGTTTAACCGCCATGTACTTTCCAGAACTTTCTGCAGCAAGGGCTATCTTCTCTGTCCAGCTCCACAGCCATGAGCCGCAGCAGGCTACTGGCGTGCGCTGGGCAGCTGACCGCTGACGGTCAGGTTACCGGAATGTGGCTGACCTGAGCATGCACACGAGGCTGCTGGCCACAGAACTGGGCCGTGCAGGTGGTCCAGAGAGGAGACGTAGCCCTGGCTCTGGTGCGTGGTGGAAAGAGGCCGGGCACCAACACACACGCGGGCCATGGCCGCCACTCAGCAGCCCTGGTTTCCTCTGATGTAAGCTCGCTTCCGTTTTCTATCCACTGGCTTATAGATATGTATACACACACATATACATACAAGCACATATATGTATAAACTATACATGGGACCAAGCGTGGAAAACTAAAAATGTATCAAAATATGTACATATGAATTAAAATACACTTATTATATGGATATAAAGATGTACACATATGTACATGTTATGTATGTACACACATATATGTGTGTGTACATTATTTTCCTTCTTGTTTTGGGGTTCACACCCGGCAGAGGTCACGGCTTCCTCCTGGGTGCTTGGGGGACCCCGGGGGATGCTGGGGATCCCCCGGTGGGTCACGTGCACAGCAAGTGCCCTCTCACTGCACTAGTTCCAGCCGCTCTATTTCTCCCCACTGAGCTTCGAACCTTAACATTTCTCTGATACACTAAAAAATGCCTTTGAGCAATCAAGTGAAAACACGAAGGCCTGAACTTACTGAGCAAGCTAAAAACAAAACGGACAACCCAAGCTGGGGTCCCTGGGCTTCTATGTGCTCTGCCGGGCGCCCCGGGAGCAACCCCCTTCCGGCTCTCACAGGCGCCAACGGGCGGAGGAAGTGTCTGAGGCTGCAGGCCGAGGCCCCCAACAGAGCCCGACCCCGAGACGGCGGCCCTGCGCCCACACACCTTGGCCTCGTCGACTTGCGTCTTCAGCTCGGCCACCTCCCGCAGCAGGCTCCCGTTCTCCGCCTGCACCGCCTGCAGCTTCTCCGCCTGCAGCAGCAGCTTCTGCAGGGCCTGCAGCGCCTCCTCGTGCTGCGCCTGGCTCTCCGTGGTGGACTTGGCGTGCTCGGCCTGCAGAGCCTGGAACTGGCTGCGGCTCACGTCCACCTTCTCCCACTGCGGGGAGCCGGGGGCCATCATCAGCCACAGGCCCCCTGCCTGCCCCCAGCACACACACGCACACATGCGCGCGCGCACACACACACACACACACACACAACGCACACAAACAAACATACCCGCACACACATGGCGACTCTGCTCTGCTCAACAGCACACACACCCAATGTTCATGAAAATGAACTTGCACTTAGAACATAGATATTGGGGCTGAAGGGCTGGCACATGGTCCAGGTGCCCGAGAACAGCCAGACGGTTAGACCCTGAGCCAGGAGTAACACCGAGTTTGGGGGGAGCCCCAATAAACATGGTGATCATCTGGGGGCTGGGAGAGAGAGAGCACTGAGTAAGGCCACTTGGCCCCGGTCTGAATCCCGGCACTAACAGGAATATCCTGAGCACAAAGCCAGGAGTCGCCTCCAAGGACTGACAGGCATGGCACTAGTCCCCCACCACCACCACCACCACCAAAAAAAAATATATATATATATATACACACACCCCAGGGGCAGAGCAATAGCCCAGCGGGGAGGGTGTTTGTCTTGCACAAGGCTGACCCGCCTTTGATCCCCAGCATCCCATAGGGGATGCACCGTCAGTAGTAATTCCTGAGTGCAGAGCCAGGATTGACCCCTGAATGTCCCCAGCTGTGACCCAAAAAGACAAAAAACAAGAACAACAAGAACAAAAAACCCAGAAAACAAAAATAATCCACCCGAAACTCAGCTATCAATGCCCAGTGTGTATCTGCCTGGCAAACATGAGTGAGTTGTGCAAGTATGTATGTATTTGCTTGCATGTCCAAGGACACGTATGAGTCTGCACATGACAGAAGCCCATGTGTGTATACTGGGGTGTGTGCATGGCTGTGGACACACGTGTGTACACATGTTCTCGAGCATACACAGATACACTGTGATGCTGCGTGTGCTGGGTCCATGCTGCCCCGGCAAGGACGATTCCGTTGGAAACCTCCCGCAGGGTTCTGAATGGCTCCTTCAGGGCTCAGTTTCGGGTCCTGACGAGACCCCGTCAGTACTGTCTCAATGGAAAGGCCCAGTTCATCAAGGTCCAGCGCCGGAGTGATGGGACAGTGGGGAGGGCGTTTACCTTGCACGTGGCTGACCCAGGTTCAATCCCCGGAATCCCAGGTAGTCCCCCAAGCTCCGCCAGGAGAAATTCCTGAGTGCAGAGCTAGGAGTAACCTCTGAGCATCACCAGGTGTGACCCAAAAAGCCAAAAAAGAAAACAAAAACAAAAACAACCAGATACTTTAGGTGTTTTGCTTTGTATGTGCCCAACCCAGGTTCAATACCCAGCATTCCATGTGGTCCCCTGAGGGCCACCAGGTGAAGGTCTCAGCACAGCTGAATACTAAAAAGCCCAAGACACAAACAAACACACACACACACACACACACACAAATCCTAAAAAGAAAACCAGAAAACACACTTTGATCCAGTGCAGGAAGGTGTCTGGAAGGTTCCAGAAAAGCAGCCTTCCCAGCGCATGTCTCTCACCCCCTCCCCTTGCTGTGAGCCCCCAGTGCTCCCGGCTGGCAGGGGACACAGAGCCGAGGGGGCAGGGGGCACGGGAGAGGAGCCTGAGGCGCTGCTGAGGGGAGGAAGGAGCCCGGCACTCCGGGAGCATCGCTGGCCACTCACTGATCAGGCAGAGGCGGAGGGCACAGAGGGGACAGAGCAACGCACCTACCTTTGCTGCCCCAATGGGGGCTCGCACAGCCCCTGGGGCTTTCGAGCTGACACGCTCGTGAGCCTCAGAGGCGATAGGGCCGAGCTCGCCTGAGGAGGCTTCGCTTTGCCCTCAGCAAGGTGAAGATCAGCGTCCGACTCCCCTGGTACTCACCAAAGTCCGAAGCTCTTTCTCCAAAGCCTCCTTCACTCGGCCGGCTTCGTTCAAGTTCTCCTGAAGACGACAAAGCGCTAGCTCCTTCCCCTGCAGCTCCTCGGCCAGGCTATCGGCCTACCAGAGTCACAAGGATGGAGTGAATGGACCAAGGGGACGAACAGAAACAGGAAGGGGAAAACAAAACAGAAAACACGTATGAGAAGCCCATGACCCAACACAACCCCAAAGAACAGAGGCATGAGGTGAGCGCGATTTCCTGAAGCTCTCGAAGCCAAGGCCTTGGCGCCATCAGTTCTGGTGATGACTGTCTAGTGGTTACTGAAAACGGCTCAAACAGAGGCGTTTTCTAGACCTAAATTTGGAGCGACCAGAAAATAAGAAAGCCTATGAGAAAGATTGACTTTCCAGGGGCAGGGAGACGGCACAAAGGGCTGGAGTACACACCAGGCCCGAGTTGGAACTGCAGCACCACTGGGCGAGCCTGAGATCGGTCCACAAGCTGAAAAGACCCACTACTGCTGGGCGGGAGGACCCCAGAGCCCAGACCATGGCTTGGCGAGGAAGAAGGAAGTAAGCAAGGGAGGAGGGAGGCTAAGGATACGAAGGAGGGAGGGAGGGAGGAAACAGGGAAGAAAGGGAAAGGGAGGGGAAGGAGGGAAGAACAGGTTATCTTTTTTTTTTTTTTGGCCCGCTCGAGCTAATAGATGAACAACGGGAGGACAGTGACAATGACAGTGACCCTATGGGATGCTGGAGATCGAACTCACGTAGGCCGTGTGCAAGGCAAATGCCCTTCCCACTGTACTATCACTCTGGCCCCCAAGATTTACTTTCTTGTAGTTTCTTGTCTGTGACTTTAAAAGTTTGAGGGGTTTCAATATGAAATTTAAAATGAAGAACCTCTAATCCACTAGGCAGCAGTCACCAGAACTTGACGTTTGTTACATCTTGATGCGAACAAGTGGGTCACCTATCCCCTGCTGTGTCCTAGGAATTGATTCCATTTGTTTCTGGAATGCCAGCTAAGGAGTCCTGATCCTGAGAGGAACTCCCGGGGGTCTCTGGGTCCTTCTGTTATGTCTGTCAGTCCTGTCTACAAATCCCACAGCCCTTCCAACTTGGCCAACAGAGAAGTTTCTCCAACAAAGCGCACAGCGCCAGGGGGGTGGGAGGGGGGCGGCTGGGAGGGCGCGTCTCTGCCACCACAATCCTATAGGAGGAAAAGGGCATTTCTCGGGGCCCCTTGGTGAGAACTGCAGCTTCCTCGGCTTGGCCCAGATCTCACTGTCTTGTCCTTCCCCAGGGTCAGGGCTACCGTGAGAGTCCATGCCCGTGGCCAGCAGGAGGCCATGCTGGAAGGCGGACATGGCCCAAGCACCCCTTAGAGGCTGAAAGGGATGAAATCTCTGCAGGGCTGGGCTGGGGCTTGTGCTGCAGGCAGGGAGGGGTCAGCAATGAGAAATATCAAGATGGGCCACATCACCAGCCCTGAGGGAGCTCAGAGGTTCAGAGGCATTGAGCACCAGCTGGAAACTGAGGCGCCTCGGGGAGAGGACAGCAAAGCAGTCACACGAGCAGGTGGTCAGCAAGGTCAGGGAAAGACCCCTGCGGCCAGCCTCGAGTCCAAGGGTCTGGGCGGACTCAGCGAGTACGCAGGGGGCCCAAGGCGGGGGGGCCGAGGTTTGCTTTGGGGGCTCCTATCTTGTTTTCTCACTGGCCTTGTGAAGAGTTCTCTGTTTCAGAAAGACCCCAGATGGGCCCGATTAGCCAGGGCCTAGGCTAGCATGGCATCCGGGTGCTGGGGACCAATGACCGCCCCAAAATCATGCCGACACGTTCTCAGTCCCATCAGAGGGAACCGCACGGGACGTGACCGGGAGACCTGTCAGCACCAAGCCGGAACACGGCGGCAAGTACACAGAGACACAGCATGCAGGGAGCAAGCATGGAAGTGGGCGAGGGCGCCCGAGTACCAACCTGCCGCTCTCGGCCCGCTCTGCATTCTCTAACTCCTGAATCTGCCGCTCAGCCACCTGGAGCTGCTGCCTGAGCTTCTCCATTTCCAATTTACCTTCGGAACTGGCCTTCCAGAGCCCATCGAACTGCAAGAGCTTCTGCTGGGTGGCCTCCAGCTGTGCCGTGGTGTTGGCCAGGGCCTGGGCTTGCTGACTACACATGGCCCGCAACCCCTCCAGGTGCTTTACCTTCGTCTCCGCCTCCTGCAGCTTGTTCAGGGCGTCCTCCATCTCCACCAGGTGCTGGTTCTCGGTCTGGTGGAGCTTGGCCCGCGCGGCCTCCAGGCTGTTCTTCTGCTCCTGGGCCATCCTGACCAGCCGCGACCTGAGCGTCTGCAGCTCAAAGGCGTGCGCTGCACGCTCAGCCGCCAGCTGGGCCTTCAGGCTCTCTACCTCCTGCTGGGACTCGAACTGCAGCCTCTCCATCTGCATCTTGAGCTCGGCCAGCTCGGCCGCCTCGGCGCCCACGCCCCGGCTCACGGACGCCTTCGGCTCGCCCATGGCCTGTTGGTACGGGGCGATGGCCATCTCCAGCTTGGACTTCCACAGGGCGATCACGTCCGCCTTCTCCTTGTTGGCATGGTCCAGCTTGGTTCTCAGCCCCTCGTTCTCCTTGGCGAGCTTCTCGGAGGCCGCCTGCAGGGCCTTCACCTCCTTCTGGTGGGAAAACAAAATTTCCATGAACTTAAAACAGGAAGGAAAAGAAGCAGAAACAGAAATCATTCTTTTGCAAACTGACTGTTTCCTTCTTGTTTTAAGGAATGCCTTAAAAAACTGGGGTTCTAAAGGATTTGATTTGTGCTGCTCGACTGAAAATCAAAGCTGAGGCAAACTCGTAGACCCAACTGTCAGAACGAGAGAAAAACGCTCATCAACAGCAGCCTCCAGCCCCAAGGAGCAGAGGTGCCTCAGCCGGGCCCTGCCAGGTGCATGATCCCAGGTATCCCTGTCTGATTCGGAGTCTCCAGCAGAAGTGGTCCCGGCGGGGTCGGCCAGGCCACCCCGCATCCTTGCCTGCACCCTGCAAGCCTCTGGGACCTGCCCGGGCTTTACCTCCAGGTCGCCTTTGGTGATGGACTCCTCTTCTACTCGGAACTGGAGGTCCTCCACTTTCCTGTGGGGGAGAGGGAGAGTTGTGAGGGGCGTCACTGCTGCCCCCCATGTGGGCCACCACCCTGTAGATGCGCGCCCGACCCAGCCCCCGGCTCCACACACAGGAGGGCTGAGAGAGTCAGCGAGGGCCAGAGCGAGAGTACAGCGGGCGTTTGTCTTGCACGTGGCCGACCCGGGTTCAATTCCCAGCATCCCATTATGGTCCCTTGGGCAATGCCAGGAGTAATTCCTGAGTGCCGAGGCAGGAGTAACCCCAGAGCATCGCTGGGTTGACCCAAAAAGAAAAAAAAGAAAGTCGGTGAGTCCCCTCGGCTGCGAGCACTGGGTGGGACCCGCAGGCTACAGGAGGAAGCTCTTTCCAGCCAACGCCACAGGCGCAGTGTCATATCAGCCTTTTCTGCCTCGCAGCTAACAGAGGTCATTAAAGACTGACCCGGGGCGAATACTAGTTCCTGTCAGCCAGCTCCTGTCCCCACATCGGGACAACAACGGAGCCCCTGGGGGAGAAGCAGCAAACGACTCGGGGCTGGGGGGGCAGGAGGGGCTCCCAGGGGACGTGGAGTGTTCGGCATGTGCAGCTGAGGAGCTGAGCCGGGTACTGGCAGTGCCCCTGGGCACAACACTGCCGGGAGCCCATCTGAGAAGACCGTCTTGGCCGGCATCCCGTGTCCGTCTGTCTGCAGCCTGGCCTGCGCCCTGCCTGTCTGCTGCCGTGCCCCATGGGTGCTGCGGGTTTCCTCCCGCCCAGGATTAACCCCAGGGACTCCCACAGGGCCCCACTGGGATACGACAGTTGCCAGCCACCCAGCACATGTCTCCGGAACACCAGGCCACGTGGACACAGCAGTGAGGGCCGGGGGTGCCTGGGCTCCAGTGAGCTCCCCCCATTCCCCCCATGAGGCCACGCTCAGGACTGGGCACCCGGTGGTTTCTGGTTCTCACAGCCCTGGAAGGCTGGCGCGCCCCGCCCGAGGCAGTTCCCCAGCTTGGGGCACGGCCTCACCTCTTCTCCTCCTCCAGCTGGTTCAGCAGCTCCACCCTCTCCCGGTCGCTCGCTTCCAGCATGGCCCGCTGCTTGTCCATCTTGGCCCCTAGCCCCAGGACGTGCTGTGGAGGCAACTGCGCGTGAGTGTCCTCGCCCGCCCCCGACAGCCCTCTGTGGGCTGGCACCGCCACCTGCCACCGCGGCACACTGAACGCGTCTCCCACCTAAGCTGCAGCGTTTCTGGAAGGCCGGAAGGGAACCACACCACGAAAGCACCAGCGGGGACAACTTGGCGCTCCCGGAACCCCCACGGGGTGAGGATAAGGGGCATGTGATCAAACCACGCGCCGGATGCCACCTCAACGACGGCAGACGGGGACCCACGGCCTCTCCCTGCACTGCCTGCACCAAGGTCGCGCCCAGCATTTGCCGCAAGCGTCTCTTGGCCCCGGCACTGTCGTCTGCACAGACGTCACCTGGTCGTGCCCGTCCCGGCCAGGGCCAGCTCCTGCTCTATCACCCCCACATGGCTCGTGGCCTTGGCCACCTCCACCCTCTCCAGGTCCCGCTGGGCCAGCAGCTGCTGAATGTGCTGCTGCTTCTCCTTCAGTGCCTCTTGGAGGGCGGTGGTGCTGGAGATCTTGCAGGCATAGCGAGAGGAGGTTTCTGGCAACTGCAAAGGAAAAAGAGACGTGAAGGGGGTGGGGGTGGCGGACGCGGGCATGCACACGGCTATCCTCAGCAAAGCAGATGGAGCAGCGCTGCATCCGTGCATATGGGCCAGCGACTCTCAGCAGAAGCGTCTTGAAACCTTCCCGAAGATCCTTGGACAGGACCTGAGCTCCACTGACGGGCTTCGTGGGAATCCAGAGACTCTTCTGCAGAGCCGGAGGCAGCCCCCTCCACAGCCCACTCTGGCCTGAGCTTCCTTAAGGCTGAGCCCTTGGCTTGAGCTTGAGGCCGGCTCCAGCATCTTCTGCCTTGCACGTCCGTCCGTCAGGGTCTCCCCAGGGCAGCCTGGCCCTTCTCTCTTCCTCTTCCTTCCAGCTCACCTCGCTCTCCCCAGCACCCGCCCCAGGCCTGAATAGCACTAACCAGAGACTCCTGTCTCTGGGAATGGCCCCGTGCCTCTGAGGGTCATTAGGTGTGACCCCATAAAAGACCCCTGTGCCATCTGCCTTCGAAAGTGGGGGATGAGAGGCTAGAATGGTAAAGTTGCGGGGAAGGCGCTGGCCTTGCACGCCGCTGCCCGAGCTGGATCCCAGGTACCCACCCCATAGGGTCCCGAGCCCACCAGGAGTGACTCCTGAGTGCAGAGCCCGGAGGAAGTCCTGAGCATTGCTGGGGTGTGGCCCAAAATCCAGGGAAAAAAGGAACAAGTGGTGGGTGAGCATGTGTGAGGGCTCACGCCCAGCGAGCAGGACAGCAAGGGCAGCTCAGGGGAAGACCAAGCACAAAGGGAAGGAGAGAAGAGGCAAAGACAGTGGGAGGGGAGGGAAGTGGGCTGGAGGGCCGCGGGGACCGGGGGTCCTGTCCGTTCTGTCCTGGGCTCGTGGTCGCTCATGGTCGCTCTGCAGACCCAGTTTCCTTGCGGCACAACGGCCCCTGCAGGCGGGGACACAGTGGGACCTGGTCTTCATTCTTCAGGCACACGGTGGCGGGGGCTGGGGCGGGGGTGGCTGAGGACGTCCGCTCCTTCTGCCCGGCCACGCCTGACCCATCGCCCTGCTCCTGCCGCTTCCCTGCATCATCTGAGCTGCTGCCAAACGCCTCCTGACCAACGGGCCCAGCAGGGCCCAGGCTGTCCACTGCTGCTTTGCCTGCTGCGAGCTCTCGAGCTACCTGGTTCTGTCCAGGGAGCGGCTCATCCTTGCCTCTGCGTAAGGATCTGGCCGTGACTCCCCAATACACTTAAAGTATATTGGTCAGATTAAAAGCCCGGCAAGCTACCGAGAGTATTCGATATGCCAGACACAGTAACAATAAAGTTTCCAATGGAGACATTACTGGGCCCACTCGAGCAAATCGACGATCAACGGGAGGGCCTTTACTTACTTTACTTACTAAATGCTCTCCCCAGGGCCAAAGAATCTATTGTGGGGTGGGGGGGGTGGGGGGAGGTACTTTCAGAGGTTCAAGATCCAGCAACGTCAGGAGTGACACCACCCCCTGCAGAGAGCCAGGAATAAGCCCTGAGCACCCCTGAGTGTGGCCCCAAAACCAAATAATAAATAAAATTTCTAGGAGCACACGAGCTCTCGGGCCCAGCCACGTGCAGTGCTGCCGGGAAGTGCACTCAACTCTGATTTCAAGGGGTGGCTGGGAAGAGCTTGACAGCCTTGGGGGTCTCCAACAAGACCTGGGCTCAAACCCCCTCCACCAGGAGCAGCCCCCAAGCACCACGCCTGGAGTCCCTGAGCACTGTCAGGTGAGCCCCAAAACCAAAGAGCAAAAATAAAAACTAGGAAAGGCGGGCGGCGGTGTTCCCTGAGCCTCCTGGCCTGAGCGGTGGGGCACGCACGTGCTTCCTGGGCCCGAGACAGCTCCCTGAGGAAACCAGCCCGGGAGCGAACGGCTTCTTTCAGCCAACCGTGGAGATGAACGAGACTGCGAGTTCAGGCGCCGGAGCAGAGAGAAAGCAGCACCCCTGGCATGGGGGGAGGCGGGCGCTGAGGGGCTGGGCAAGGTGGGGGCCATGAACTGAACTCAGGATGTTGATGCCAAAGCCTCTGCCCTGCGCGTGGTGTGTGAGGCCCCAGGCTCCATGCCAGCAAGGCCAGCCCCTCTGTGGGAGCCTGGTACCTCAGAGAGCAACTCAGCCAACAAGCGAACCGGGAGGCTCCCACAGGGCACGCCCGGACCTGTGTGCATGTATGTATGCGTGCACGTACGTTCCTCTGGGCATGTCTACACACACCTGTGTGCACACGCGCATTGTGTCTATGCAGGTACGTGCCTGTGTGTATACACCCATAAGCCTGTGTACATACGGTATGCACTACGTGTACATGTATGAGTCGCTGTGTGTGTGTGAACGCTTGTGTGTGCACGTATGGAATTACATTGTCGAGGTATACTTCCATGAAGCCACACAGAATCATTCTATATTCCTGTCATAAACGCTAACGGTGATGTGCAGTGTAGGAGTGAGCTCCGCCCTGCGTAAAGATATGCAAGGCAGGGGTCAAAGGGCTGGAGAGCGAAGCCCCAGCGCTGCCCAGGCTCAATCCCGGAGGCCGCCAGGAATAATCCCGAGCACAGAAGCGAGAGAAAGCCCTGGGCTCTGCCAGGTGTGACCCCAGAACAGAACAAAACAAGACAGCGGGGGGAGGCTGGAGATACGGCTCAGGCGGGGGGGCTCTTGCTCGGATGTGGGAGGCCCCGGCTCAACCCCAGCACTGCAAACGGCCCCTTGAAGCACTGCAGGGTGTGGCCCACAGTCAAGCAGAAAAACAAAACCGAATTCCACAAACGGGCTGGCTCGCGAGGGAAGGAGAGGGGCTTCTGAGTCTGCTCCCCTCCTGAATGGCGAGGCGAGGGGAAGGAGGAGTCGGATGTGAGGATGGAGGCAGGGCAGGGAAACCTGGTGGTGGTCAAGCAAGACAGGACTGGCCCCAGGCCTGTGCCCACGGCGTGTGGCCTCCTGGCTCCCGTTCCCGTGTCATCTGTTTTGTATCTTCCGTTGCACACACACTCATTCCCTCCTCTTCCGCATCGAGGGTCAATGCACGGAGCAGAGGAGGCGGCAGGAAGCGCAGCCCCCAGCAAAGCCAGCCCCCCGGACACATCTCCATCGTGGGCCCGTTTCCCTGTGGACAATATCTCAGGACACCCTTGCATATTCGGACACACTTTAGTGTTTAGGACTCAGAGAGACATGAGGGGAGAAGCCACGAGGCCCCAGCTTTGACTTGCGGCCCCGCAATGGACAGAAGTCGAGGCCCCTCTGCATGTCGACAGGGGTGCAGAGGGACAGGAGGGAGCAGGGAGGGACGGAGAGAGCAAACACGCAACGCCAAGCGCCAAGCGTTCCCCAGAGTCTCTGGGTCCCGCTCTGACCCTCCGACGCCCCCTTCAGCTCCCCCACTTCATCCCTAAGGCGGACTGAGCCCTGAGCACCCGAGGAAAGGCCCATCCCTGCTCCTGTCACCGGTGGTGGCTGGGAAGCCACTCGCCTGCCCCCCGGAGCTGCTCAGCCCACCCAGTCCTGCTCCGCCTCTCACCCCTGGGGCCGTGGGAGTCTGTGGGGGCCCGAGCACCGCGCGGGGTGGGGGGAGCTTCTTACTAGTCCCACGCGGCTGAGCCTGCTGCTCACGGATGAGGCCACGGAGCTCACGGAGCTGAGCGAGGAGGCCGACGGGCGGCGCTTCAGGCTGGCGGGGGTGGTGGCCATCACACGCCTCACGGGGGCCGCCTTGGCCTTGGCCGGCGTCGTGGAGGGGAAGCCGATCTTGGTGACTTTGTGAATGGGAGCAAACAAGCCGTACTTGGGCTGACACTGGAAGTACCTGCGACAACGAGGAGGGGGGGACAAAAGACCCCTTTGGCAAGAGAGACAGGCGCCGACCGAGGCGTCCACTGAGTCCCACAGTCTCACACGCCCACAGACTAACACGCTCCCACAGCCCCACGCTCCCACACACTCACACCCCAACAAACACTCCCACACTCTCACACCCCAACCAACAGTCCCACACTCTCACACTCCCACTCACCCCAACAAACACACTCACACCCCAACCAACACTCCCACATTTCCACAGCACCACACTCACACACACTCACTCCCCAACAAACATCATACCCTCACACAGCCCCCCCACACACACTCTCACCCAACAAACACACACTCACACCCCAACCAACACAAACTCACACTCATACCCCAACCAACACTCCCACACACTCACACCCCAACAAACACACACTCACATCCCAACAAACACTCCCACACTCACCCCAAGAAGCACACACACTCACAACCCAACCAACATTCCCACACTCTCACACTCCCACCCCAACAAACACACACACCACAACAAAGACTCCCACATTTCTACAGCCCCACACTCACACATACTCACTCCCCAACAAACATCATACCCTCCCACAGCACCACACTCACAAACACTCTCACCCAACAAACACACACTCACACCCCCAACCAAAACTCCCACTCACACCCCAACCAACACACACTCACACTTACACCCCAACCAACACTCTCACACACTCACACCCCAACAAGTACACACTCAGTCCCCAACCAACACTCCCAAACTCTCACACTCCCACCCCAAAAAACACACACTCACACCCCAAAAAACACTCCCACATGTCCACAGCCCCAGTCACTCACACTCACTCCCCAACAAACACTCCCACACTCACGCCAAGAAGCAAACACTGTCACACCCCAACCAACACTCCCAAACTCTCACACTCCCACCCCAACAAACACACACACCACAACAAACACTCCCACACTCACCCCAAGAAGCACACACACTCACACCCCAACCAACATTCCCACACTCTCACACTCCCACCCCAACAAACACACATACCACAACAAACACTCCCACATTTCCACAGTCCCACACTCACACACACTCACACCCCAACCAACACTCCCACACTCCCAATGTCCCACACTCACAAACACACCCCCTAAAACACACACTCACACTCACACCCCAACCAATACTCCCACAGTCCCACAGTCACACACTCATATACACACCCCTCATCCATACATATCCACACCCCAACAAATACTCCCACATTTCCTCAGCCCCACACTCACACCCCAACAAAAATACACTCACACTCACACCCCAACCAACACTCCCACACTCCCACAGCCCCACAGTCACACACACGCACACCCCAACCAACACTTGCACGCTCTCAAACCAACAATGACACGCTCTCATTCCCTCACAAACATGCTCACACCCCCACCAACACTCACATGCTCATGCCCTCACCAACACTCTCACAGCCCCACACTCACACGCTCACATACACACACCCTCATACATACATATCCACACTCTGAAGCACACACATTCAAACATTCACACACACACTCCCTCGCACGCCTCCCACCCGCACCGCGCAAACCAAGGGCGATTCCAAGCAGACTCCCCAGAATCTGAAGGGCGACAGCAGGCCCGGGGGGTTCCTGCGGGCCAAGCACAGCTGCATGTGGGAGCCCCAGGCTGTCCCCACATCCCTGCAGGGTCCCCGAGTGCCACCGGAAGTGGCCCCGCCTAAGAACCAAGTGAAGTGGCCTGCAGTCCCCTCAGCGCCTCCCGGGCACCGTGCATTGCCCCAGGCTGTCTGGGGGGGCAGGAGGACCCACCTCGTTCCGGCCACGGCGCCATCGTTCTTGCCCAGCGGCTTGTCCAGCTCCACGCCACACCAATCCCCCTTGGCGAAGTCCATCTCCCCGAGGAAGCGCACCACACCGGCCTTCACGCCTCCCACCTGCTGGAGGGACGCGGGTCAGGCACCCTGGACTGCGCACAGCGCCCCCACCCCCGCAAAGAAACATTCTGGCTTCAGAGTAGGGATTTCCGGAAGAAACCCCAAAGGTCAAGGTGCCACTTCCCCCCGCAACCCCTACAGCGTGAGCAGACGCTGCTGCTCAGTGTCCATGCAAGGCAGCGGCGTTCACACCCACTCGCTGACACGGGTGGCCTGGCTGACCATACCCCCAGGAATCTCTGACCCAGGCCAGCCACCTGGTGTGGCGAGGGGGTCGTTGCCCCGCAGGTGTGGGAGCGGAGCCGTGGCAACCCCAACGCTGGAGAACAATTAAGCCAGAAACCAGCTAAAGAAAAATGACTGTTCTCATATCTTAGCGGACTTCCATTTTCCAGTTCTCCTTCACTATGCCTTGGCTTCACGCTTGGCCCCTGGGACGCAGAGCAAAACAGAATCACAGCGTTGGACACTGACGGGAATGCTGACAAATAGGGCTGGAGCACTGGGGGAAGGGCACTTGCTTTGTGTGCGGCCACCCTGGGTTCAATCCTCAGCACCCAAGATGGTCCCCCTAGCCTGCCAAGACTGATTCCTGAGTGCAAAGCCTGAGTGACCCCAAAACCAAAAAGTCAAAACAGAAAGGAGAGAAGAGAGAGAGAGAGAGAGAGAGAGAGAGAGAGAGAGAGAGAGAGAGAGAGAGAAACCTCAACTAATAATGCCCGAGAGCGCAGTTTTCTTTTTTCGGGTCTGGGGTAGGACTGGGTTCACGTGCTCGGGGGTCACTCGCAGCACGAGGGGTAGCAGCGTCACCCAGGACTGTCTCTGCGAGTCCTGAAGTGCCATCTGCAAAGGCCCTGGCACAGCCTCCGTGGCCAGGCGTGGGCCCTGGGCACTGTGAGTGTGACAAGGAATAAAAGAACAAGAGACAGGTGGCTGGGGTGGCGGCCCTGGGCTGAGAAGAGGCTGCAAAGTTCCTGTCTCACAGCTGGTCATCGGCGAAGAATTTGGCACAAAACATGCCGTCCCCGACCCGGAAACAGCCTCCTCTAACAGGACAACTGGAAGCCAGTCAATTCTCTCAAGCCCCTGGCGTCATATCCTGGAAATATCATCTGCCCAAAACTGCTGCAAGCCTGTCTCCAGAACATTCTGTCAGAGCTCAGCTGGAGAGAAGGGAAGTGATCTCCCAAGGTCAGGAGAACCACCACACATCAGCCCGGAGAAGCTCTTCACGGTTGGACTCTGAGACGCCACAGGACGGACAGAGTGACCTCCCGCTCTGAGACACCATAAGACTGACCAGAGCGACTGACTGTCCCGCTCTGCGACCCCTGCCTACTTGCGAGCACAGACGGGACTTGAGGTCAGAGCTGGGCATTTCCAGTGACCCCAATGAGGGTCCCTGAGTCTCCAAAGAGAACCAAAGTAGCACAAGCATGGGGGCAACCTGTCCACTGCCAGGGATGGGGAGTGCCAGGGGCAGGGGACCGTCTTTCACAGGCCTAAGCCTGGAACAGCCATGTCAGAGCCTTCGAAGGGCTCCTCGGAGGTCAGTCCCGTAAACATCGGGGCCAGCTGGCGCAGAACCTGGACTTCCTGTGCGCAGGGAAGAATGGGGCAAAGGGCAGGAGGCCCTTTGGAGAGCCGGGAGGGCGCCAGCCCTGCACGGGAGCTTCGCCTCAGTGCCCCGAGGCCAGCCCCCACTCGCCACGGCCTCCTGACCACGGCTGCGTTAGGCCATGGAGCGCCAAGCAAACCTTCCTTGAATTAGGAAAAAGACCAAAGAAAGTGTTTGGGTTTTCTTTTTCCCCCAACTTCTTTCAGAAAACAGCCATTATGCTGGTTGTGGTCCCCCAAAAAAACCTCAAAAACTTTTTTGAAAGGCGTGCTCTAGCTGAGGTATGGAGCGATGGAACAGCACAGCGGGCAGGGCGTTGGCCTTGCACACACCTGCCCGGATGTGGTCCCTGAGCACAGGGCCAGGACTCAGCCCTGAGCACCACCACCAATAAATGAATAACTGATCAGAGTTATTCACCGCAGAGCCAGTGGCGGTGTCCCCGCTCCCTTGTTCCAACGACACTGGTGTCCCTGTGTCCAGGTGTGGACGGTTGTGAAAGCAAGTTAAAAAAAAAAGTCTTTTTTCTTCTTTGGGTCTTTGGGTCACACCTGGCGATGCTGAGGGGTGAGTCGTGGCTCTGCATTCAGGAATCATTCCTGCGATGCTTAGGGGACCCTATGGGATACCGGGGAACCCGGGTTTGCTGAGTGCAAGGCAAACGCCCTCTCTGCTGTACTACTGCTCCAGCCCCCCAGTCTTTAAACCGTGAGTCTCCTCCAGCTCCAATTCCCTCCCCGTGTTACTCTTTGGCCATCCCCGAACCCCGACCGTGACCCTCCAGGACTCTCCGAGGGCCACCCTGCGCCTGCAGGCGGGTCACCTCACTGCTCTCCTCTCCGGCCTCCACAGCTCGGACACCGGCCTGGCGGTGGCCATCCCTGTGGTCCCCGGGAAGCCACTGGCTCCGGGCCAGCCCCCAGTCTGTCCAGAGCCGCCCGCCTCAGACGTCCCCGAGGGGACTTTTCCTGGCCGCTTCCCACGGGTTCTGAAAGCGTTAGTGAGTGCTTCTGCTGGGGGAGAACAGTTGTCTACAGCCAAGCGCCTCTGCTTTGGGGACCTGTGCAGAGGAATGGGCTTGGGGTGGACTGAGGATGCCACGTGCAGGGACCTGGTGACCCCCACCAGAAACTCATCTCATAGGGGTGCCCCCTCGCCCCCACCTTCCAGGAGCTGCTCAGAGAAACACAAGAGCAGGTGCTGTGTCTGAAGATCGAGCAACCAAGACAGCAAAACATACTCTTGAGAATGTTCGGGAGACGGGTCCCGACCCGTGGCCTACTCAGGGTCCATCCCCGACACCCCAGATGGTCCACTGAGCCCTACCAGGAGTGATCCCTGAGTTCACCACCAGGAGGAAGCCCTGAGCACGGCCAGGTGTGGCCCAAACACCAAACCACACACGTCTGCAGAGACGGCTCAGGGCTTGCGCACAGCCGGGCACGGAATGGCCCGAGCGGCTCGGGGTGAGCCCTGTGACGCCCCAAACACAAACATCAGAAACCAGAGAAATGGAACCGATTTCCAAATTTGTTCGTTGGTTTGTTTTCTGAGTCACAGTCAGAGTGCTCAGGGCTTACTTCTGGCTTGGTGCTCAGGGATCACTACGGGATGTGCTTGGGAGACTGTACATGGGACCAAGACGTAAACCCCAGGTCAGAGGCGTGCAAAGCACGCGGCCTCCCCACGGCATGACCCCTCCATCCTGTTTTGGCTAAACTGGTAAAACTGGCAGCATCCCCGCACGCATCCATCACGCTGGAAACTGCAGGACCAGGCGTTCCGGCTGCTCGTCCTTCCACCCAAACCGCGAGTCTGCAAAACCTGATGGACCAGACAGGTGAATGGACACCCACCCGCGACCGCTGCCCTCGGCACTCACCAGCACCCGGTCCCCAAGCTTCAGCTCCTGCTCCCCGTTCTTGAGGGAGCCAGCCTCCGAGAGGTTGGAGATGGACTCGCTGGCCGTCCTGGTCAGGTTGCTGATGTGAGGGGTGGCCGGTGCCTCCTTTGTGGAGGGCTGGGGCGCCTTCGGGGCGGTGGCAGGGGCCGGGGAGGCCGACAGGGGCGGTGTGACCCGGGCAGCAGGCGCTGGCTGCAGGCCGTTGGTCTCATCGTCGGCCTGCAAGCTCCTGCTCAGCTTGGACGGCCGGGTGAAGATGCCCTTCAGCGGCTCGCACTGGAAGTAGTGCACACCCGCCACCGAGCCGTCGTTCTTGCCGATGGGCTCGTCCAACACGATCCCGGCCCACTGACCAGGGGCAAACTGGGTCTCCCCGAGGAACTGGATGAATCCAGGCGTGTTCCCCTTCACCCAGACTCGTTCTCCGACCTGGAAGTCGTCCACAAACTCCTCCTGCGTCTCCGAGGAGGGGGCGCTGGGGGTTTTCTCCCCAGGCACGGATTTCTCAACGGGAGCAGCCGCTGGAACAGCAGAAAGGGTCAGAAGGGTCAGAATGGTCAGGAAGGGCCTGTCCAGGTCCAGTTAAAGTGTGGTGGTGGGGGGGAGGGATACCCAGCAGTGCTTGGGGCTTCTCCCAGCCAATGCCGGGGGCTGCTTTTGGCGAAGCCTGGCCAGGCCCGCCGTGAAGGGGACGTGCCTACCTACTGCAGCATCCCAGGCCACAGTCATATTTGGGCAGCTGAGGGGAAATCTTTGGACACACCCCGTGATGCTAGGGACCAAGCCAGGCGAAAGCTCCAACCCAGTGTCTTATTTCTGCTGTGTCCACTGGCCCATCTTCTTTTTCTTTTAGGGGGGAGCACCCCAGCCAGTCCGCAGGGCCTATTTCTGGCTCTGTGCTCAGGGTCACTCATGTTAGGTTGAGGCTGGAGAGTCCCATGGGGTGCCGGTTGCCCTCCCCACTGTCCTGTGGCTACGGCCGGCAATGAGGCCCTTTAGTCCAGGTGAGTCCACCTCCCTCAGCCTGTCCCCAAGCCCGGGCGAGGGGGCTAGCAGTTAGGAGGGAGCGTGTTGGTCGCCTCAGCTGACACTAGTTGCCGTGACACTAAAGTCACAGAATGTGACACTTGTGTGTGAGAGCTGTCCCCAGAGCCATGAACGTGCCTACAGCTCAGGGAGCCCTTTCCGGGCGAGGACTCGGGAGGGGGTTCCCGGGTGGGAATGAGTCTCCCCTGGCCCGGGCTGAGCGCACTTACCGGCCGAGGGCGCCTTCAGGGCCCAGCTCCCATGCTTGAGGATCTTGGTGGGGGCCTTCAGCCCGCTGGGCCTCAGCAGACTCATGGTCAGGTGGTCAGACGCTGCCGCGGCCACTACCGGGCCCTGACCGTCGAGCCCACTGTGGGGCCTTCTGAGGCGCACTCGTTCTCAGGGATAAATCTCTGAAGAGCAGAGGAGAGAGTCTGTCTCAGGGGAGCGGCCACAGCAGCTTCCGGAGCCCAGAGAGCTGCCAGTCTGACACTCGCCACCCCGAGTGCGACCCCCAGCCTCCCGCACAGCCCCCTGAGCCCACCAAGTGTCATTCCTGCGCAAAAACTCAATCCCAAACAGACAAACAAACAACTGCAGATTCGGGGCCAGAGGGCAGAGGGGACAGGTACTTGCCCTGCGGGCAGCTGACCCTCACGCCCTCCCTGGCATCACACCCACCCCCAAACACATTCAGGAGCCAGAAATCGTCCCTGAGCACTGCGAGTGTCACTGACCACCTCCCCGTCCAGACACTGACTAGCCGGGAGGCGACTCAGCAGTGATCACTGGACATGTGTGTGCGTGTGTGCGTATGTGTGTGTGAGAGAGGCCCGTGGTTACACACAGAAGCTAAGGCAAGCAACACACACACTTTTTTCTATGGGCTGAGAACTGCCAGGGAAAAGGGCCCAGCAAGACTGCGCCAAAGGGGGGCTGGAGAGCGATAGCACAGTGGTAGGGCGTTTGCCTTGCACGCGGCCGACCCAGGTTCGATTCCCAGCATCCCATATGGTCCCCTGAGCACTGCCAGGACTGATTCCCGAGTGCAGACCCAGGAGTAAATCCTGTGCATCACCAGGTGTGACCCAGAAAGAAAAAAAAATTGCGCCAAAGGGGAGTGAAGGAGGTTTTGGCGTTTCCTTCGTTCCCTGTGACGCTGCCCAAGTTTGATGACCACAAGCCAGTATTAACTCCATTTCTTAACCCACAGAACTGAGGCAGACAGGTGGATGGGGGAAGCGTCGCCATGGCAATGGAACTCCGAGGAAGTCAACAAAAGCTTCATGGCCACCAAAAGACCACCTGAGGGCACGGGACCCAAGGTCTGGTCAAAATTAACCCACATTAGGAGGCCCAGAGCAGGCTGGACCCCCCGAGGGAATAGGAACAAAGGCCAGGAAAGGAATTTCTAAGAGGACCTTGGACCACTCAACTCTACCCCCTTGGCAACCACCCTAGCAACGGACTCTAGGTAGCTAGAAACTCCCACCAGGGGCAGACTGGGGAAAACCCGAGATTAGCCCCCTTGAACCAAGGGAGGGCGCTCATGTGTGCCCGAGCCCAGGGACTGCTCTTGCCTACGAGGTCGGTCATGTCACGGGCTTCTCCCCTCCTGAGGTGTGGACTTTCGGACCGAACGCAACCAGGCAACCTAACGTGTTCAGTGGCTTTCTGCGCCTCTGGAGAAGCCGCACTCTCTCTCGAGCCTGTTACTCCCTCCCTCATTTCCCCTTCCTAAAAGCCTCCAAATAAAATGTTCCTGCTTCAAGCTCATCTCCTGAAATGCTTTTCTGCGAGAAGGACAAAGGCCCGGGGGCCTGAGGAGGTCGAGGATCGACTCCCTTTCCCTAAAAAGGGCAACCCCTCACTCCGGCCCGAGATCCCGGGAAGGCCTAGTGGGCGTCGTGGGGCTGGCAGGGCTCGTCGCGCTCACCATTGCCAGCGCTCCAGCCAGTCCCAGGGGAGTGACATCTTCTCCTCTGCTTCTCATCAGCCCCCCATGAGGGCCCACTGACTTCAGAGTCATTCCATATTTCAACAGAAAAGTCCGCAGGGGGCAGAGAGGCAGGACAGTGGGGAGGGCACTTGCCTTCTATCCAGTTGTCCTGGGCTCGATCTCCGTCAGCACAGGGACGTTAGCCGGCCAGGGTGACCCCTGGGCACAGCCAGGTATGGCCACCCCACCCCACCCCACCCCACCCCCACCCCAACCCCCAAAAATATATATATAACTACTAAAAAAACTTAAACGAACTACAGATTAAAAACTATCATACACTAAAGAACTGTTAGAGAGAAAAGCCACCCACACGCGGGCAAAAAGCCCAGAGACTCAGATTCACCTGTGTCACACTGCACTCGCAGCTTACAGAACTGAGCTCTGCCAAACAGGCTCGTGCCAGTCTCCTACAGAGACTGAAAATGGCACTTGGAGTCTAGAATGTTCCAAGGTAGAATGAGAATTCCGCAAGGAGGAGGGCATCATGGGCCCTTCTTAAAGGGGCAGGCGCCACCCTTCGTGACGCCAGGGTCCAGCTGAGGCTCCGGAGGGCTGCCCTGCAGATGCCAGCACTAGCTGGCCAATGTGCCTCTGGTCCCTGCGGGGCCCAGTTCTGGACCCCTGGGCCCTGAGAAAGTGGTTTCAGAAAACATTTGACAAATGTTTGGCAGTTACAGATCTCCAGCTGAGGTCATTCGGCATCCCCCAAGTGGGACCTGGACCCAGTGACCGTGCCCAGGGCCCTCCTCAGGAGCCGGGCCATAAAATCTGTGGGTGCGGGGGGTGGGCCGAGGGGCAGAGCGACAGGGCAGAGGCCCTGCGCCCGACCCTGACAGCCCTGCTCTCTGTGACCCCAGTGCTGTGAGCAACACCTGCCGCACCGTGGCCAGGGAGTGGCCCAGCCCACTAAGGCCTGAGAGCTGTGCAGAGGAGTATGGCCTGGCCTGCTCGGATGGGAGCACAAGCTGAATGAGTGCGGGTCCCCTCGAGGATGAGTGAGCAGGAACGGGGGAGTGGTGGGGCGGTGGGGAGGGCGGAGTGACCTAACCTGGGGGCTCAGGACGGGACACCTGGACGGGACACCTGGCCGTGCTCAGGCCAACTCTGATCCAGTCATCGGGGCTCATCCTGGCAGGACCTGGGGGGGGAGGGGGGGTGACGTACAGGGTGGGGTGGGGTCAGCCGCAGGCAAGGCAGGCTCCTTGGCCCTGGGCTACCCTTCGGGCAAGGATACCTATTTTCTTTCTTTCCTTTTGTTTTTTGGGACACCCGGCAGTGCTCAGGGTTACTCCTGGGTCTGCACTCGGGAATCACTCCTGCCGGTGCTCAGGGGACCTATGGGGTGAGCCATGCACCCGGCAAGCGCCAAGTCTTGATACCAAGGTGCCCACGAAACACAGTGTGCAACAAGGGACTCTACAGAGAACGTCAGGGCCATCAAACGCTACGAGGAAGTCAATCAATTCTGAAAAGACACAAAAAGATGCAAAAGGAGGGGCTGAGGTGAGAGCACAGTGGGGAGGGGTTTGCCTTGCTCTCCGCTGACCAAGATTCGATCACCAGTCCTGAGCACTGCCAGGAGTAATTCCTGAGCATCACTGAGTGCGACCCAAAAAGCCAAAAAAAAAGAAAAAAACAGCGCGAAAGAAAATGTGTTTGAGCTTCACACCCTACCGAGCGGCTCTCCGGTATGGCCACGGCCCCAGAAGCACAAGGACTTAACACAGAGAACCAGCAGCTTGGAGCAGAAAAGCAAATGGACTATGTGTTAAACCGCGCCATCATGACTGACCGGAGGGGAAAGGGTGTTGCCCCCTTCGCCCTCTCCTCTCTGGAAAGAAAGGTGGCGGCCGCACGGGAGCCTGGTGGACAGCAGGTTTGAGCCGGGGGTCGGGGGCGGCAAAAACCTCACGAGAAGGGGGGCGTTCCGGCCCGTCCTTCACGCCCTACCGTGGTCGCCAGTTGCCCCCCACGAGCGGCTCTCCGGCACGGCCACGACTCCAGAGCACAGAAACCAATCTCTTAATTATCTAACTTTTAATAGAAATATTTCCAGGGTTAATAAGTAAAATAGCAGATATCCAAACCCAGCTGTAGAAAGCAAATCATTTCACAACGCTTTTTCAGCTTGTCTGATTTGGGGGGGGGGGGGGGTTGTAAACTCTAAATAATAATGGTGCATCTTTTATCGAAACAATGAATCGAGTCAAAGTAGACAGAGTGTTAACTAGAACTCATCTGCCTCACAGGAATTGGCAGGGGTGGGAGGTGGGGTTCTATTGGGGTTCACGGTTAAAAATAAGTATTGGTAAAGGGAAATGTGTTTGATATTTACACGACTGAGGCCTAAACCTGAAAGCTCTGTAACTTTTCCCACAGTGATTCAATAAATAAATAAATTATAAAAAAAAAAAAAGAAAAAAAAGAAACTGTGTTTGAGCCTCACTGTCTCCCTGAGACTTGAGCACTCGGTGCCATGTGTGAGCCCAGTAGAGTCTCCGGCCTGAACAAGCCCCGACCCCCTCACCCCCATGCTCCTGTGTTTGGACCGTGACCCTAAATCCTGTGATGGGATCACGTGTGTCCATGACAAAGACGCTAGCAAGCTCATACCCTAGAACGTCTCTGCTTCACACAGGCGTGGCACACAGGTCCTGGCCTGCTAGCGACCGGCAGTGATTCGGCAGGAAGCAGAGGTGTGAGCCTGAACGTGGGTCAAGTCCGTTCCTTCAGCTTGGAGGGGAGGAATGTCCGAGAGGGGGTTTTGAGCACTGCCTCACAAGCATGAGGTCCTGAGTCCAAGCCCCCGGGGTCACACGTGCACCTGGCACAAAGCCGGCACAGACCCGGCAGCTCTGCTGTCCCAGCACCACGCAGGAAGGGGGGTGACCCCAGGGGGAGGGCCACCGAGAGAGGAGGTGGACACCACAGAAAAGAGGAGGGAACACAGGGCAGGAGTTGAGGGCTGCAGGGCCGGGAGCACCGGGTAGAGAGCAGCCCTGGGGAGCAGGAGGCCAGGCGGGCGCCCCTTGTCACTGGCCACTCGAGGCAGTCGCACAAGCCGTGTGCAGACCCACGAGGCTGACAGGGCGCCAGGGACAGGGCAACCCCAGCAAGGATTTTTCTTTAAGTTTTGGGCCATGGGGCCAGAACTCTAGTACAGCGGGGAGGGCGTTTGCCTTGCACACAACTGACCCGGGTTCAATCCCGGCATCCCATAGGGACCCCAGAGCACCTCGAGGAGTAAGTCCTGAGTGCAGAGCCAGGAGTGACCCCGGAACATGTCCAGGTGTGACCCAAAAACAAAACAACA